ATTTTAAAGCCACATAAATTATAATCCACGAATTAAATTATTTTAATGAAAAAAATAAAGTAAAAATATAGGAAAAGAATTCAATACTACGAGTATAAGAAATCCAAAAAAAATATACTAAAAAATATTTAAATGATAAACGCTTATAATAAAGTTTGAAACCTATCATATAAGATGAATTTTGATAGTATTTATGATAAGATATACAAATTGTTCGTTAATCAAAATTAAATTAAAATTTGTGATACCTACCATTATAAATTGATCATACGACACAAACAAAATTTTGTATCAATAAAAAATCCCATCAAGCGAATTTTGTGTTAATTTTTGGTCATCAATGGTCGGGTAATTTTTAGGTTAATTTTTAAAATCCTATGTTTAAATTAGTGTTTCTAACTATTACTTACATTGTATTAATTTGGAATACTCAACGATTATATATTTATGTTTTATTTACTAAATGTTTTTTACATGCAGATCTAACACATCATGCGACACAAATAAAATTTCGTATCAATACAATACCCCATCAAGCGAATTTTGTGTTAGTAATTTTGTGTTAGTTTAAGGTCATCAATGTCCGGGTAATTTTAAAATCTTATGTTTAAATTTATATTTGTTATTATTAGTTACATTGTATTTATTTAGGATACTTAACAATTATTTGTTTATGTAATGACATACGATTAGATGTTGTATACTTAACATATGGATGGCTTTGGTTATTTTTAGAGATGATGAAAAAATTCCAATGCTTAGATTTGATTTTATATCGCAACAATTCTTCATTTATTGGTAAATATATTGATTTATTTTATATAAATGTAAAGATTTAATTTATATCAATTTCAATTTGGCTAACATTTTTATCCATTGATGTAGTAGGTTGGTTGTGGACGAGGTTGGTGATTCTATCGAAATAAAAGATATGGTAAAACAATGAATAATGATTTAGGATTTAAATTATTAAAAATTTATCATTTCCTTTATATAACGGAAGAAATATCATATTTACAATTTATTTATATTTAATAAATTCCTTATAAATTATAGTAAAAAAAATATTAAACTTTTGTTGTCTGAAATTATTAAATACAATAAATCAAATAATTAAAAATAGATGAAAAAACCGTGCATCGCACGGGCTTCCATCTAATATATATAAATAAAGTAGGCATTTTAGTTACATTGTATTTATTTAGGATACTTAATGATTATTTGTTTATGTAATGGATACGATTAGATGTTGTATACTTAATATGTGGATGGCTTTGGTTATTTTTGGAGATGATGAATAAACTCCAATGCATAGATTTGATTTTATATCGAAACAATTTTTCATTTATTGGTAAATATATTGATTTATTTTATATGAATGTAAAGATTTAATTTATATCAATTTCAATTTGGCTAACATTTCACGGTTCAATTTATCCATTGATGTAGTAAGGTTGGTTGTGGACGAGGTTGGTGTATCTATCGAAATAAAAGATATGGTAAAACAATGAATAATGATTTAGGATTTAAATTATTAAAAATTTATCATTTCACATTAAAGATTTAAGACAACAAAAAAAAAAATCATATTTACAATTTATTTATATTTAATAAATTCATTATAAATTATTGTAAAAAAAAATATTAAACTTTTTTTAATTTTGTCTGAAATTATTAAATACAATAAATCAAATAATTAAAAATCTTAGATGAAAAAACCGTACATCGCACGGGCTTTCATCTAGTTAAAAATATTTAAGAGGTTAAAATTGTGCATTGACAAATATGTCAAGTCTAACAACAGCAACAAAAGAAGTCTTAAAAAAAAAAAAAAAAAAAAACAAAACAAAACAAAGGAAGTACTTTGTTGAGAAGTTTAAAAATATTTAACCTAAACTTATATTATGGGACTTAATTAATCTTGCTTTCATTCTATACTTATACCTAATTGAACCTGATAAGCTTTATAACACTTGATTAGCTCTTAAACTTATTTTTTAGTGTGAAAAGATGACCCTAAAAGTATTTGTAAATTTGTGAATTAAATTTTTAAGAGATAGACATAAGGTGTGACTGTGTGAGTTATTCACCTCATCAAACTATTCAAATAATTCAATCTTTAAACTTATTTTTCCTCCGCTCTACCTTCAATACAAATAAAAGTATTGAAATGAGTGATCATAGTTAGATCAAGTACTTGATTACATGTTAAAACAATACTAATATGTTTCATTATTATTAAGGTTAACGAATGATTTTTTTTTTTTTTTTTTTTTTTTTTTTTTTTTTTTTTTTTTTGGGTCTCAGTTACATTTCCACAATAATTTACCAACTAATAAATTAATGTATGTCATCAACCGATTATAGTTAAATAGTCACATAAGAATACTAAAATCGCACAAAATATAGCTCTTTTTTTCCTTTCCCTTTTCTTTACTATCTTTGCGTCAAGAATCAATGTAAACTAAAATTCACCAAACTACTAATGACACACAAGTCATCTTAATTATATATACGTACAACATTGAACATTTAAGTATTGTAGAAAGAAAAAAACTAATATAATATTGAAAGTTACTTTACAATATGGATCTCCAGTTTATAACAAGCTAATTGAAATGCATTTTAATCAGCCAGCCTTCAACCTTTTAATCCTTAATCGTATGAACTAATGACTCATTAGAATGACATGTATGTATATTGTCACTTTTCACTCTTAATAAAGGGATTGGATTAGGTCACCAACCATTTCATAAATCGGCCACAAATGTGAATTCTATCTGAAATCCACAAACGCAATCAACCTCCTTTATTCTTATTTGTTTGTCTATTTCAAGCATTTAGATCAAACTTAAAGAATATTGATTAAAATTTTTCGTTATACTCATATATACAAAGATATACTCCCTTCATTTTTTTTTAAGTAAATCACTTTTTTTTGACATCTTTTCTTATTTTTTTTATTAATATCTTTCTTCTCACACCTTCATAGAACTTACTGCTAGTCAAATCGTTGCACTTAAAAAAAAAAAACCCAGAGGGAATAGATAGTATAGTCATATAGGATGTTGTTAGTTAGATTTATCCCATTATATATTATAATAATATCAAGTTATGATAATTTTTGCGCATATGAAAATGGAGATATATATGTTCTAGGATTATTTTTGAAGGCCGTAATCTAAAAATTTGGACGAGGCAAACAAATAGAGATCGAAGGAGTATATATTTTGAAGTAAAAATGACATTTTAAAAAAAAAATGGAAGTAATTATAGCTTTGAATTTATTAAATATTGTAAGAGGGAGATTAATTGTTGGACGGTAGTATTTATATATATATATATAAAAAGTGTCTTTGATGAAAGTCAAAAGATTATGAGCATTAAGTCAAGTTAATAGCTCAATATGTGTTTTTTTTATTTTTTATTTTTATAAATGATACCTTAATATTGTACTTTGTATTTCACATGAACCATAGTAGCCATTTAAATTCATGATTTTCAATTGATTCATCAAGTCTAATACCAAATTCAATTCTTGTTATTGTTTCACATGGACCACAATGAACGTTGAGAGATGGACTAGGGTCCAGTAATTGATGCACTAGCTTAATTATGGACTGTATATTATGATGTGCCACACAGAAGAATCCAATTGAGATTACAAGTCTCACAATAGAAGGCCCACGAACCAAATGGCATTATAGCCCGTAAATACGTAACAAAGCATAACATGAACAAGACAAGTATTTTCTCTCTCTCTCTCTCTCTCTCTCTCTATATATATATATATATATATATATTTTAAGATAAGGGAAGGATCCATTTCTGACTGTACTTCAATCCTAACGGTTTTTTGATCCGATATTTGCGGGTCAAACACTTAAGAGTGAGGGGGAAAGGGTAAGGGATCCCCACCCTCAAAGTGTCTCTAGTGGCATTGAATTCCCCAACCTGCCTCAAGGTTGGAAAGCACAATCCTTACCATTAATCAAAATTCAAGTAATGCTTGAATTTACGATGAAGAGGTCTTCGTGATCAACTGCTTAACTATCTTCTACATGAATATATGATGAAGAGGTCTTCGTGATCAATTTTTTTTTTATTTTCTTTTTTTATTTTTTATACTAGATCAATCATTAATCAAAATTCAAGTAAATAAATCTTTATGTTACATAAGACGACAGTGACACCTATGTAACGCTATCTGTTGCCTTTAAAACGCGACTATTTTTAACGAGTGAGAAAAACTATCAAAATGTTACCTTGACCAGGCCCTGTTCTTTTGAGCTTTTGGGCAGAAAAGAACAGAGCAGATTTTAGCATAGCTGAGTAGTGCAAAGTAGAGTAGAGCATGTTTCAGCATTATTATCATTATTACTATTATTATTTGATTTTTGTAGATTTTTTTACTCTTTTTTTATAACATTAGAAAATGTGTTAAATAATATAAAATATTAATTATTGTCATTAAATATTATTATTATCAATTAATATTATATATTAATTATTTTATTATTATAAAATATTAATTATTATTATTATTATTAAATATTAAATATTAATTATTATTATCTATAAATATTACTTATTATTATTATTAATTATTATTTTTAACCAGAGCATAGCAGAACAATTCAAAAGAACAGGACCTAACTATTACTCGAATCACCACCTTACCAACACTCCTATTTTTTAAATACGAAGTAGTAGTGTTTTTGACATGGGCAAAACATTAAGCACTAGCCCAAAAGCTACAACCAACCAGGGTCATAATGTAATTTATTTTTACTTCGTATAAGGTAGTTCCAAACAAATAAGGCCCGGTTATTTTGAGTTACTGATCTGCTTTGCTCTGTTGAGTATAAATAAGCTGCTTTGTTTTAGTGACACCTGCTATTCTGCCCTATTTTGCTCTGCTTGCCCATAAATTCAAAAGAACAGGGACTAACCCGAATAGAGTCCCAAAACTCTGCTTGCCTGCTTGGCGCCTTGGCATAAGCCATCCATCCGAATCAAGGAACCTCAGCTCACTACACTCCACAGCTTCCTTATTCTTTATTCTATTCCATTTCCAAAGCATTTGCTTACTACCAATTACAACTTTGCAACTCATTGCTATTTGATGAGCATCAACCCTCTTCATTCCTTTTTTTTCTAGATTTTCTTCCTCAGATTTTTGCGCTCACCCACCGATTTTTCCCTCACAAAAACATTCAATAAAATCGTCAGAAATTAAATTAAAAAAAGGGTCTTTTTTTTATTTTTATTTTCTGGGTCTTTTATAAAATTCAATATAAAGGATTGCGCAAGATTTGATAAAATGGTAAGAATTATACCAATGGCGTCCACTTTGAGGCCATCTCTTACCTGCTTTAGATTTTCTTCAAATACTCGTTTTGGGGTTTCTCTCTCTTCTCATAGGCCGCTTTCTTCTCTTCACCTGGGTAGTGGTATGTAATTTTTCCCCAATTTATCAAAATCTTGATTATTTATTTTGGTTTGTAATTGAAATTTCAGGTTTTAGCTGAATTGGGTATTATTGTTTATGGTTCAAATTGAAAAATTGGGTTCTGGGATGTTCTATAATATGTTTTTAGTGTATAGGGAGCCAAAGGCAATGATGTTGACGCGATTCGATCCCGGGTTTTGGGTATTATTGATTTTTTGGAGTGATTGAATTATGTGGCTATGTTATCTTGTGGCATTTTATCAGTAACTTGTAATTGGCCTTGTTTTTTAGTTGTTAAAGGTTAAAACATTGTATTATGTTTATTTGAGGTTATGTTACACTTGACATTGATAGATGGACTGAAGAATTTCCCCTTAAAAATTTTGAGTATTTGTGTGGAATGAGGTGATTCAATTGATAGTTGTTTATTAGAGACTATATCGAAGCGTCTTTAAATGGAGTAAATATGTATTATTACCTAGTGAAGAGCTAGTTTTGGGTAAGAATTGATATGAAAGTAATTAATTATTTGTGAGGAATGCAAAGAGTTTGTTTTTTATTTTTAGTATCACTGATGTTAGTGGAGCTAAGCTGTAAGTCGAAACTCGTAATTTTGTAAACCTTATAAAAGAGTGATGTGTGAATGTGGTGTGTTCAAGATTCAGATATTGAGATGGGAATGCCTATGATTCTTGTTGTAGCCACATACGCTGATGTTTGTTCTCGATAGTGAATAGTTGTTACTATAGGAGTATAGGATTTTGAATTGATATATCTTCATTTTTTTTTCAGCTGTTCCGCAGTCATATTCCTTCGGTTTAAGAGCTTCGAAATTGTTGAGAGAGGGCAATGGCTTCTCTGTCAATGCAGCTGGTAATGCTGCACAAGCCAGCACTAGTGCTGTTGAAGAGAATGTTCTGGAGTGGGTCAAGAAAGACAACCGAAGGATGCTCCATGTTGTTTACCGTGTTGGAGATCTTGACAGGACGATAAAGTACTTCCATGTTCCTTTACAATGTAGTTTATACCCATTTAACAATTACATTCTTCATGAGTTTAAATTGATGGTTTCAGATTCTACACGGAGTGCCTTGGAATGAAACTGTTAAGAAAACGTGACATACCAGAGGAGAAATACACTAATGCCTTTCTTGGTTACGGGCCAGAGGATTCACATTTTGTCATAGAACTAACTTACAGTAAGCCACATTATTCCTTATGAAATTGTTATCTGTTTCAATATACAAGTTTCTTATCACCCCCACCCCATTTCTTTTCATGTTCTATAATATTTATTCATGTTTATGTTCATATGGTGCTGTCAGATTATGGAGTTGACAAATATGATATTGGAACTGGTTTCGGTCACTTTGGCATTGCAGTTGAGGATGTAAGATTATATATCTACCTTTAAGCGTTTTTCTATATGATATATGAGGCTACACAATCCAGAGACAATTTTTAATTAATTATTTATTTATTTATTTTAATTATATGAACTCATTGATCTTTGATGCTCCGTTGATCTTTGTCTTGACATATGTTAAGTAATTTGAAGTTTGCTACTGAAAAATAACGCTGCAGTCCCTTAGTCAGTTAATTGAATGATGAATCGAGTCTCTTTCATCTAATCATTGAATAGTTCCATCAGATGGCAATAATGCTGCAGTCCCTTAATCAGTTAATTGGATAACAAATTGAGTCCAGTTTTTTCTTTCTTTCATTTGATTAGTGAATAGTCCCATCAGATGACAATATACTCTCATTTCAAAGTTTAAAATTTGATTGGAGAGTTTATATTAATTAGATTATCACAAGAAGGGATTTAAATATATATAAGTGTGCATGTCTAATGTGGGATTTTAGTGTGTGTGCTTAATTGGCATGTAGAAACATTTTACTCAGGCTATCACCATTTCCTATATTCTTTAGATCTAATCTTTGGCACAGATTTGGCGCATATATGTGGGTGTGGAAGCTCCTAAGTATAAATTCAAAAATAGGCATAAGTGCACACTATGGGCCTGACCTTACTAAGCCTATTAGCTTCCTGGCAGCATGAAGAAAATATCTCCTGCAAGGCTGCAAGTGCAGTTCAATACCAGTGCAAACATTATTTTCTTCTTTTTCTTCTGCTTCTTTTCTCTTGTTTCTCTATAGTCTGTACAGTTCCTCATGCCCTATGCTTTCACTTTTCTCTTGTTTTTTCCTTTTCATTCTCCTTGTGCCATTTGTTTCCTATTTGTTTCCTCGATTTCCTTCTCTCTCTTAAATTTTCCTTCTTAATGTTTTTTCATCTTTCTTCTTATTGTCCCACTGCATACTACATATTTCCTGTAAAGAGATTTCCGTATCCTTGTAATTTACTTGGTGGCTTTTTTCCTTCTCATTCTACCCAAAATACTTCAAAGCTTACCTATTCATATTTATATATAACTAATAACATATAGTTGTATAGTTATAGACCAATTCCAAAATAGCCATGTAACTGAATCAAACTCATTTTTGAGACTTTATAGACTTATTAATAGGCATCTTATGGTTCCAAACCAACTTATATGACCCCGATGAACACCCTACGCATTCACTTTAATTTTGGATAAAGTTCCCAGAATTGGCCCAAAAGCATGGTTTATAGCCTTTAGTTTTGAACAATTTTTTACTTTTTTGGACTTGGAAAGGAAACAAGTCGAGATGCTTCTTATAGACCCCAAGACGCCTCAGGAGTTCATTTGGGTGGTTGGAACCATCCACTTTGCCTTTAAATTGTCAATTTGGTAATTTACTTTTTTACAACTTACGCCCCTATCATTAACTCAAGGCCACCATGAGACTTGATATGACCGACTAGTGGTCATGTATCGGTCCTATAAAGTCCCAAACAATATTATATGACCTTGATATGCATCCCCCAAATCTCGAATTTTTTTTGACATTTGGTATGAGACCTCTAAAATTGAGACCTCTTGATATATCCTTTGTTTTGAACAATTTTAGGCTTTTCCATTTCCGGAATGGAAATTGATCGGGGGATCTTCACATGAACCCCATGATATTTCGCGAGGCCATTTAGGTAGTCAGAATCATCCACTTTGCCTTTACACCGTCAATTTAGCCATTTATTTACACACCTCTCTTTATTAACTCAAGGCCACTACGGGCCTTTATGCGATCAACTATTGATCATATATGGCTCCAAATGACATTATATGACAATCTTGAGATTTTTTGACACTGTGTACTTAAACCTCAAAAATTGGTCTAAAAGCGTGGATGGCCTCCACTTTTGTACAATTTTGGACTTTTCACCATGGACCCCACAACACCCCAAGAGGCCATTTGAGTGGTTGGAAGCTTGGAACTGTTCATTTGCCGCCTTTAAACAGTCAGTTTAGTAATTTTCGTACAAACCCTCTTAAATAACTCAAGGCCACCATGGCCTTTCTATGACCGACTAATGGTCATATACTCATATATGCTCCAAAACTATCTTATATTACCCCAGGATGCATCTCCTTTGATTACGTGAGTTTTCGACTGAAACCTCCATTATTGGTTCGAATCCGTGCAACTCACTCTCGAATTTGTTTCTTTAAATGAGGTGATTTTTAGAATGTATAAACCATTATAGTGTTAAATGTGGCATTTTGAGGGGCAAATGGTATCCAAAGTGGGGCACGAGATGTTGTCATATACATCATGTCCATAAGGCACACTTTTTGCAATGCCTTACAGATCATCATGACTCAAGCACTCAACTGACAATATGCTCTAATTTATGTTATTTCATATGGATGGGCGGTTTTACAGAAGACCAAACTATTCAGTACATGAACAAGCTTCTTAATTACTTATTAATAGATATAGTATGATTTATATCCTTCGTGTTTGTCTTCCTTCATATAGTCATGGAAGTTTGGTCGAGGACAAAATTGTGTTGACAATTTCTGTGAGTTACCTTACTCCACCTCTTTGAACAGAAGGGTTAAAATACTGTGCATATTTTTTAGTGGCTTAAGTAATGAGGACGTTATCCTACATAGCAACTTGATTCTCTGGAGAAAACTTTCCTTGTGCATCACTGGTTGTGTACTTCTGTGTATTCTCTTTTTGTTTGAATGTGTTTCTGGGTTTATGTTCATTTGTCTGTCCTTGTACAGGTGGCCAAGACTGTGGAACTTGTAAAGGCTAAAGGTGGAATAGTAACTCGGGAAGCTGGACCCGTTAAGGGTGGAAATACTGTCATTGCATTTATCGAAGATCCTGATGGTTACAAGTTTGAACTTATCGAAAGGGGGTCTACACCTGAGCCTTTGTGCCAGGTAATGCTGCGAGTTGGTGATCTTGATCGATCTATTGAGTTTTATAAAAAGGTAAGAGCTGTAAGTATTGACCCTTGACAGGTTGACACTGGTATTTTAATCAAAGGAACTAAAAAGCATTTTGTATTTCAGGCTTATGGCATGGAGCTTTTGCGGACTCGGGATAATCCACAGTACAAGGTAACATATTGCATTTACTTTGTCAATTGCAGCCAAAAATTATACCTTAATAATAATTGGTTCAATCAGCTATATGTTGTACATTGACATATTTGGTTGCTTTGACTTAAAGTTGAAGGTAGTATGATTCTGAGTTCCATTTCCTTTGTGTGTTGGATAAAGTTACTATTTGTCTGATCTTCTATTGCGTCTTAATTCCACTAATCTTAGCTTCCTCATTTTGTGTCTATTTGCAACATCTTGATTTTGAACTGTGAACTTACTAGGTACTACCTGTGGGGATTTGTGCTAAAAAAATTGTCATGTGAGATCATTAGATTTGTCTCAATGTATGCTTTCAAAATATGAACTTTTTAAAAAAAAAAATTACTTTCTAAAAATGTAAAATATTATGTATTAGTATATGTGAAAGTCAAAACGTTGCCACTAAGAAAAAAGAGGAAGTATACATCTTCGTGCTTTCTGAGAACAATATATGCTGATCCGATTGGATTTGGTTCTGCCAGAACTTTATTCTCCAAAATTCTTTCTGAAGGTGATTTGGTACATGAGCTTATAACTTTACATGTTGATGTATTCTTTCAGGATTTTATACAGACAATTCATCAAGCTTCTATGTAGTTGAATACTTGAATACTTTTATTTTTCATTTTGTACGCTAGGATGTAATTAAGTAATTTTGATCTTGCCCCTTGCCGGTTCTTTATCAGAGTTTTCTTTGTTGTACTTTTCTTTTCTTTGTTGTTGTACATACAAAATACTGTTTTAAAATTACTTTAATTGCAATGGTGTAGTTGAATATACCAACTCACCTATGCACATTTTGAAAGCTGTGATGCGTGATGTTGCAACTGGGATGTTCCTTCCTCAACTTCACCATCGTTAAAATGATGTTTGGAGCCACTATCTCCATGATTAGAGCTATCAAACTAGAAACAAAATGCAGGATTGAAAAATGAATATACGCCATTATATAGAAGTGTGAACACTGCAGGGTGTAAATTATTGCAGCCACTTTATTAGCTATATCTACTACCATTTTGTGTATTAGCAGGCACTTATTTTGGTTTCACTAATCTGTTTAATATTCCCTCCTTAATCTTGCTATTGCAACTTATGCACTATGTTAAACCTTTGGGCCTGCTATTAAATTCTCTGCTGTCTATTTCAGTATACAATAGCAATGTTGGGATATGGTCCTGAAGACAAAAATGCTGTTATGGAGTTGACTTACAACTACGGAGTTACTGAATATGACAAAGGAAATGCTTATGCTCAGGTATGAATAGTTTGTTCTTCACTCACTAACTTATGCTTTGTTGCTCTGGAATCGTGACGTATAAATATTTTTACGTGTAAAAATAATATTATAATGACTTGTTTTTATCACCTTTTTGGCTTTATTGCATTGTTTTGTTTGGAGTGCTTGCTAAGTGTTAATTAGTGATCCATTGAGTTGATCATGAGAAGTTCGTCTTGGACTTTAGGTATATAATTTTTGATACGGTATTTAGAGGTAAAAGCTAGAGCTTGACCTCTGATATATGTTTTCTATGAATGAAGATAATTCTTCTAGGAGCTTAAAAACCAAGAAAAAAATTGAAAAAAAAAAAAAATTATGGAAAAAGAATTAACATGCTTTATATCCCTTGGCAATGTATCCATAGACTGGAACAAGTTATGCAAAGCACTCTCTACTCATTGATTTATTCTACAATCTTCCTAACTCTTTGTTTATTATCAAAAATCTCCCATCTTGCTGACCAAATGCTTAGAAGATAGCTGAACAAGCTGATCACCAGAGACTTTTTCTTCTCATATTATTCCCAAACCTCACTTAAGATACTTGCATATGCCCTTAGGTATATAATGTATATTGTTTTGGAAGAAAGAAAAGAAACTTGAAATATGAACAACTCTTCGGATATTGGTTTCCAAAACAGTAAATAATGGACTGAGGTATGAAAAGAGGGACTCGTGTTATGTACATTGTGCAATTTTTCCCTGGGGGGAGGGGGCTTTAACATAGTAGGCCCACTCCTTACCTTTAACATAGTACGCCATTATATAGAAGGGCACTTTCCTTTGGGCCTGCACTATGTTAAACCTCACTCCTTACCTGAATGGCTGAACCATATATATGCCTTTAATTTATGGTATACTGGATTTGAAATTGAAATACTGCACATAAAATCCGACATTTATGTAGGTCTGAGCACCTTTGAAATCTAGGAGTCTGTCATTAGTAAAACTTCCAGCTATTCTGCACTTAACTCTTTTCTTACCGTCTGGCAATAAATCTTACGACTTTACAAGTATATATTTTTCTTTTTTAATGACCAACTAAGTCTTTTGGGGTCAACCTGTAATTATGGTGCTGCAGATTGCAATTGGAACGGATGATGTTTATAAAACTGCTGAAGCAATTAAACTCTGTGGAGGAAAGATCACACGGGAGCCTGGACCATTGCCGGGTATCAACACCAAGATAACAGCATGCCTTGATCTTGATGGTTGGAAAACGGTATGTCATTTAAACTTGGGGATTTTTAACTTCGACTATATATTTTCACTATATTGACCTAGATTAGCTGATGCCTACATATTTTAAAGAAATAGAATTTTTTTGTTGAGAGCTTAATCTTTATTTAGTACAGATGATGGCTGGCAGGCTAGCTTAGAGTACAGATGATTTAGTTTGAATTTGGAATCACAATTGAATTTCTAAATGTGGCTTATTTATTTAATCTTGTAATTTAGGGTGGTTGACTACTTAAATGTGCAGCCCTGATACAAACTTGTCGGCCCCACCATCTATGACCTTCCTTTTGGAAGTAAACCCACTAAAAAGAATGTATATTCCTGCCATTTAGCTAATTTTCTGATACTTTTGGGTGATAAATTTGCTGCTCTGTTACAAGATATTGACCTTTCTAATCTCACCGCATAAGACCCTGTAATCGTGTTAATGATGGATATATTTGTAAGCTTCTAAACTTGATTATGTGTATATAGAGGACCTGTTTGGAGTTATTAACAAAGGGACTCCTGTAGCTTCCTCTTTTGGCTCGTTTTAGGTTCTTCCAATCAATCACTATTACTAGAGGTTGACCTTTCCAATCTAACTGTATGGTGTACTACCATCAACGTGTAAATGATGGGGCATTCTTGTAAGCTACTAAAGCTTGAGTGTAAAGCAAATAGAGGGGCTGTTTTTGAACTCTAGAGTTCTGCTAATTCAGCTTGTGTTTCAGAATCCACGGCCTTATTAGAAAGTTCTTTTTCAGGTTGCGGTTGTAGCCTTCTACTCCGTGCAAATTATCTTACAGTATATTCTTTGTGCAGGTGTTTGTTGATAATATTGATTTCCTGAAGGAGTTGGAATGATGCTCACGGCCTCACAGGTGTCCAGATTTCCAACTTATGTTTACGTCAGTGTAAATTATTTCTGTAGCATTTGCTTATTTAGTGTAAAATCTATAGCTCTTCCACCAAAAAAACAATCTTTTGTCAAGTCATCTTCAATAAAAGAGGTATGTCAAAAGCTCGTTTAATCCTTTATTTTGGGTTGTAGATAAAATTATAATGACCATGAATCTTTCTCAATAGCTCTGTAAATGACCCTTAACTGGTCATTTTCCCAATGTTTTTGGCAATTAGGACTCGCAACAATCCAAGAAATTAAGAGCTATTATTTTGCTCCACTTAAAAGTCATGCTGTTAACTGCACCAAGCAATTAGTTTGTAATAAACTAGCCAATTTTGCCTAAATTTTATTTTTTGATAATTAGAGACATTATAGGTTAAAATTTTGCATCCGCATACATGCCAAAGAGAAATAATACCATTCAGGAATACAACAGTTTAATTTTGATCGTTATTCCTTTAATTACATGACCTTGGTCATTGATAATAGATAGTCCATAACCTTAAATTATTCAATCAGTTGTACAATAATCCAAATCCAATTAGGGTTAGCATTTATCAATATTCCAACTCCAATGTTTTCATCTTTACTAATTTTTACCCAAGACTGTATCCTATCTTTGATCTTTCTGTCAAAAGTTTTGGCCATTTAACATCATACTCCAGTAATCAGCACGAATTCTGAGCGAGTCAAACGAGTCCTCATATTGTTTGCAAACAATCTTATGAGCCTGATATGGCGGTGCTCGTGATGGGGTTAAAACTTGGCATCAATTCCCATAATTATTTAATACGAAGTACTCCTAATATATTTTATTCTTTGAGATTCAACATGATTCCAGTGGTCAGAGTACATAGCATGATCAGTCATCAAGCAACAACTTTTGTTTTTTTTTTTTTTTTTTTTTTTTTTTAAAGAAAGAAGCAACAACTTTGACTACTTGAAGGAAAATTTAGAATGTCGTTCTAAGTCTCTTCTTATCCACCAAAAAAAAGAGTTTTACAGCTACGTGAGGGAACTAGTTCCCACTTAAAAGAAAAGTTTAGTAAATAAAGCCATAGACAAGACTGCATGCAAGTATTGACGGCCACAATCAAGAACTTGGCCAGTGTGTATCGCAAGTCTGATCAAAGAGCAACAAAAATCATACAGATAACAAAACGCCAACAATAAACCATGACATTCTCCTGGTTGCAATGGTTCAATAACCATTCTCGAGAATCTCGACTAGTATGACACCGGTTATCAAGTTGGGGCAACACAAATTAAGCATCATTGATCTTTTCTCTTCATGTCATTGACAAAGCTTGCATTGCTATACGTCACTGTACATATTTCAAGTTTCAACCAACACAGCTTCAACTCTCTTGGAGAAATACAAGATGTGAGGGCCATAATGCAATTATACACCACCCCTATGAACTTGTGCCCCACATCTAGTGCGGTGCTGTAAACTCAGTCCAATATCAAGTAATTTCAGCTCAAAATACTCAACTAAATCTAGCTGGCATTTAAGCCAAAATCTAGAAAATTTGACACCAACCTGCATGTTTTGGCTTTTTCTTAGCCAACCCCTTCTGTAATAACTGCATTCCATGTGTGTTGTGAGGTGTGTGTTGAATGCACGAAAGTCTACAGTCCCAAAGAAACGAATATAAGCCATTGCACAAACAGATCATTCAAACAATTAAAGGTAGCATGTGTGCAAAATGCATGCAAATCATCAAAATCTAGTCTCCAACCTTGTAACCACTTTCTCTACAATGAACACTTGGTGCTGTAAGAAAGGTAAATCTTCTAAACGCATAGCAAATCTAAGTACTGTGTTTAGCTTGCTGAAAGGTCACAAATATCACCTTCACACATATATGTGCATTAATGAGTAGAGGTGCAGTTGATACAAGGTCACCTGGAATAAGAGAAGTGGTGGGAGGAAAATAAAAAAGAAAAGAGGGTCACAATGTCAGAATTCAAACAGAAGAAAGAAGGCTGGTCATGAAGTAGACTCAAAGCCGGTGATAGACCAGTCAGGCCGCTAACAAACTCATGAATCCTTCAAGAGAAAATTCAACTAGTTTGCCCTACCCTAAATCCAAGTAGAATATACTCATACAGCTCCTTGCCAATTAACAAAGTAAATTAATTCAGCTACTCAGAAGCAAAAGTTTAGCTCACCCTTTAGAAAATCAATTCCACCCTAAAAAAGGAAACCGGGAACTAGGAAGGTAACATGTGCAGGCCAGCTCACAAAAAGAGAAATTACAATAAAATTCAGACTTCCTATGAATGTTAACATACCTGGCTCCTTATAAGTAACAAATCCCAATGACAAACTTGACTTCTGGAATCAGACGAAGGAAATCAGAATCATTCAGCCACAGCTGTACCCCAGCATAGGGTGAACAAGATATTAAGAAAATGCAGCTAGCTTAAAACTGCAATTGTAGCCAATCCCAAAATCTGTTTTTTAGAAACAAATCTGTGTGATCTTCTAGTTCCGGGGAGAATTCGCAAAACTCCGTTTCCCTTCCATCTCTTGGATAGAGATAGATCGAGAGGGTTTCTAAGTACACCATATCCGAGCAGGCTTGCATATGGCAGGCAATACATGAATGGGCACTGCTCAAATTCTGACACACCCTTCAACATATAACTATATTTTTTATGAAAAAATAGGAGTAAACTCTTCATATCTGTAATCAGAGCTTTGTCGCTTATACTCCATAAACACTGCTGAGTGCTGGCAAAAGCTCAAGTGGCTAGAGTAATGTATTTGCAGACCTGGATTTTTAACCCCACAGCTCCACCTGATGTAGCAGTTTAAAAGAAGAAATTACACCTCCCTACACTACAGTGCCACAAAATCCTTGTTCCAAAGCAGTTACGATCAATGCAAGAGCTTGGAGAGTTCACCAGCAGCATTTGACCGGGAGCTAAATAGTACTTCGTAACAAAAATAACTTCCAAATATAGAGACCAGTAGACTGCATCCTTGTGCAATCACATCACAAGAAGAGGCGTGTTGAGATGTACTCGGAAGTCGGAACACCAAGGACCTTCCATATCATTATTCTGAAAATCCCTGCAGAGCATAAAGTGTGAACTCAAAGGATCAAAAAACTATGGGAACAGTTAATAGCAAGTATCATCAATATGCAGCATGCTCCTTTGTCAAAGTTTTCATAAAACAGAAAAAAAGAATATTGCATGTAAAACGAAGGGATTTGGTTACATGAAGATCCATAAGAAGAAAAGATTCAATACTAGATATGGTTTCACTTTCAGACACGAAAGAAGAGGTCAAAAACAGGTCTAGGAAATAATCTAAATACAGAGCATTCTTTAATCGATACAAATACAGAATGATTAAAGCATATTTATGAAACCGAAAACAGACATGAGACAGAATTATGAGATTAAAAAAATCAGGGCGGGAAAGGAAGCATACATAAAGCCAGAAAGTAAGATAAGAAGAAGACCTTATACCGCAGAATGATTCCGGGGACTACCAAGGAACTCAGTAAGACCAGACAATAGATATGTAGAATGAGGTCAGATAACAGAATACATTGTGAAAGTGCATTGTAGAACTGTTGTTCAAAATTTTACCAGTGAAACATGGAAAACAAAAGAAGTATATATAATTGCAGATGCTGAAAGATAACCAGCAAAGATTATTACACAAGAAGCACAGATACAAAATCCATTAGTTTAGACAATGTAATATAAGAAATCAAAGAAATTGAAAATTAATTTGAAAATCGCCCATGAAAACAGGATTCAATAGTATCAATTTGCCAGTAATTAAGAAAAAGCTTTTTGAAAAGGGAAAACATGACAACAAAAATTTGCAAGTAAAGTCTCAATAGAGCACTTGCATATGAGATATGATGTAAACTTCCTTTTAACTGACAGCTTCTTTATAGAGTAGCAAGAATGAAGAGGTACAATAAACACCACCAAACTTTTTTATTAAGATCAGAAGAGAATTAATAATAGTCAAGCTAATGTATGTTGCTACTGTCACATACACCTGATTCTCATAAAAGTACAAAATGCAACTCACAAAACCATGAACCAAATAGATGGACGCTGTTGAGGACAACCGTGTGGCAGAGAGGATTCTGCAACCTTTATGGAACACACACGGATGAATATGCCACAAGTTGTCATATTACACAGGATTGTAAATACAAGAGTGATGTGTGCGATTCATGGCATCAGCACACCAGTTGCACCAAGCTTTTTTAGGTCATACACTGTAAGTCCAAATATATTTGCCGCACTTCTGAGAATGTCTTGCATGGCACAAGCTCAAATAGCAATGGTTGCGGCAAAACTGAGGTGCAACAGGTGCCCAGAGATTTGCATTAAGAGATCATCCAGGATAATTTTCACCTGGAAGGAGGATAGGTAATCCTTTTTAACATATGTCAATACATTGCACAAAACAGATTCAGCAGTCCATAGATAATATTACCACCTTCAATCACTTTGCAGATGAAATTCGCATCAGGGGAGAAATCCATCTGCTTGAAGGACCAGTTTTATTAACATGTTCTTGATTCGAGTTTGTAGCTTCAGTGGGCCTAACAGGATCAGCAGCATCTTTTCTCAAGATCCCTTGTGAAGAAAATGAAGTTGATGGTAACTGAACATTCACAAAAGATTAAGTTCAGGCCGAAGCTAATGTTGGAAATTATTAAAAAAAAATAAAAACCGGCCACATCATTAGATTTTAGTGTTGAAATAGACTTACATCTTTGTATGCCATGGTTTCAGATGTCCGTTTTTTCTCAACGGCTAAACTAGAATGCATGTGGGAATCAAAAGCTGCACCATTGCCCACTCTAGCACGGTCAGTGATACCATGAGCATGCATGGCATATTGCCCCCCTGAAAACATTATAGTAATTAAACAATGAAGTGTAGATCTTCCTTCAAACACTCAAAGATAAAGGGTTTTAAAAAAATTGGACAAAACTGAACATCTCCAATAACATCCCTGTTAATGGCCACAATTTGACTAAGTATCATCACTATTTAAGCTGAAAATTCATACAGCATTAATCCAGACATGTAATGACTACAAAGACTTCAAAAAGTGCACTCATTTTATAGCTATTCACAATACCAAAATAATACAACAACAACAATGAAGCTAATATACAAGGAATATTACCCTGCCTCAGCTCCATTAGGCAGCATAGAATAGGTCTTGCTAGTGAACTATGAAATTGCCTCTTAAGCAGGAGGAAATCACAAAATCCCATAGCATAATATTAAGATATAATCAAGCACGTAGATAATACAAACAGAACTTGAAAAGTTCCTAGACTACTGATTATAGAAATAAACAAACATGCTTTTCTTCACCCTCCCCCCTTCCCAACAGCAACAACTTAAGGAACATGATTTGTTGCTCTTATGTATGATTTGGATTTAAGGGTTGGGAGTACAGGGTGGAGTGGCAGAGGTTAAGAAAATAATCTTTCACAAGCTTCACTCTAAAAGAAAACAAAAGATGTGATGGTTTGCCTCATGAAGGCTCTAAAGGGCCTAAGTTTCACAAATTTTCACCACATAAATATTTCAGAATCTTTAATCCTTTTAAAGATAGACAACCAAATCTTTACAATAGGTTGACAGACGACAACTTTTGACATTTTAAAAAAAAAAAAAAAAAAAAAGGCAGCAGTAACTAGTGTACTAGTCAAATAACCAACAAATGAAGCAAAACAGCAAGAAAGAAAGAGATGCTTATGAGCCAAACTTAGTGACAGCTTCTAAACCACTCCTAAAAAACGACTAAATAAGAACACACAATGAAATCAAACCTTGATTGTCCACATCCATTGGCATTGCACGACTGCTACTTCCTCCTGCAGCTGGCTGCAAATATATGTCAATGTACATCCCCACAGAGGTACAAATAAATGAAAAGCACATCTAAATTGAGCAAAAATTAGTGTATGAACTCACCGATAACTGAGGCTGATTTCTACTCTTTTGAACCTGCTGATATTTCATAATGGTCCAATCAAAGATGTAATCAAAAGAATATCCTGAGAATACAGAGAACATGATCAAAGCTCAAATCAGTTCAAACTTGAGCATAAAATGGGACACGACAAAATTAGATTCATGGCACTGCAAATAATTAAGACAGAAGACAACTACCATAAAGTACCTTCACGAGTAAATAATTCACGAAACAAGCGCTTCAAGAACCCATAATCAGGTCGCTGATCAAATGTCAATGAGTGGCAGTAATGCAAGTACGAGGCAAATTCAACAGGATGTGACTTGCATAAGACCTTTGAAGGAAAAAAGGCGACAGGATTACATATATTCACAAGTCATCATACAAACAATCAAATGAGGTTAGGGACAGTGGACAGAGCTGACATACCTCTATTGGAGTAGCCAACTTCTTCTCACATATTTTGTCATATTTTTGCTTCTTGGTTGCAGCTTTAAGACCTTGCCAGGGTAGGCTATATAGAGATAAATAAAAATCAAATTATGAATAATACATTGTGTAATACTTGAGATTGACAAATCTTAAAAGATGTAGGAAAATAGCTCACCTTCCTCTCAAAAAATAAAGGAGAACATATCCAAGCGACTCTAAATCATCACGCCGACTTTGCTCTACAATGAAGAGACTAAATAAAGAGACAGTAACCAAAGGCCACAAATAAAAAAACCAGAACCATAGACTTCAGACTCACCAATGCCAAGATGAGTGTTGCAACTAGCATAACGTGCAGTCCCTGTCAGATTCTTGTTCTCCCTGAACAAATGAAGCAGATAGCTCAGGAGTTACATGCAGGTAGAAATTTTTAAAGAGGATCATAAACCATAGTTTCAGAACCACAGAAAGAAAACATATCAGCCTGAGGGATTCACCTGTATGGAATATGGCGATTCGTTGTTGGTTCACGATATCTTTTTGCAAGTCCGAAATCAATAATGTAGACCTGTTATGCACAATTGTTTAGGGTGATAATGTATGGAACAATAATAGCAGGATAAACAAAGAAGGCATTACATATGACCTACCTGATTAGCTTTTCGACCTAGACCCATGAGAAAGTTATCAGGTTTGATATCTCGATGTAAAAAGCCTTTCGAATGAACATATTCTATTCTTGTAATCTGGGAAAACAAAATAACAACACCAGTAAATACACACATATATGATTCTTATATCCCACGAGCTCGTATAATCATGTAAAGCAGGAAATCAAAGATGTTTGTACCATTTGATCAGCCAACATTAGGGTAGTCTTCAACGAAAACTTTCTCCCACAGTATACAAAGAGATCCTCCAAACTAGGCCCCAACAAATCAATAATGAGGATATTATCGTTTCCATCCACCCCGGACCACTTCACACTTGGAATTCCACCTAAAATGAGACAATATCAATGGGGAAAAAAAAAAAAAAATTAAACATATAGCTGAGTAACAACACCAAAGACACACAAAGTCAAGTTGGATATAATGGTAGCAATAACACTATACATGATGATAAATCGTTACGTACTTCCTCCTTGAAGAATGTCGTATACCTTCGCCTCATACCGTAATTGTGGATGCTTCGTCTTAGTATTCTCCTGTAAAACATTATCAAATTCAACAAATATAAGAATATATTCATTCATCTAAATTTGAAATTGAGCTAATCATCAAGGTTTTAACTACTTGAAAAGCAAAATTTTATGCTAGCTAATCAAATCAACAGCTACCAAGCTACTTCCACCACTACTCTCAATCAAAATTAACATCAAATTTCATCAATTCAACAAATAATAACAAATTAGGTAAAACAATAAAAATCAAACTTACGAGCTTCACCGCGACAATTTCGAAGGTATCAATATGAGTAGCTGCAATTGAAAAAAAAAAAAAAATCAGCAATCAACACCAGAAAACAAATTAAAGCAAAACTTAACAAACCTAAGCAAAAAAATTCCAAAAAAGTTAGAATTGAAAGATCAAATTAAACAATAATTGAAGCTAACCAACGAAAATTTCGCCGAAAGAACCACTTCCGATCTTACGACCAAGCTTATACTTGCCGCCGACGATCCGATCCATAAGAATAATGGATGAATCAAACTTCAATCAACAACAAAATTAATTGAAAAATTTATCGAAATTGAGGATTTAATAGCATGAACTTGAAGAATTAAGGTAGGGTTTAATACAAAAATTGGGGGAAAAAGGAGGAGAGAGAAAGGATTCCGATGAAAGGTGCCGATAAAGTGAGGTGAGGAGAGAGAAAATTGAAGCCACACGCGGGGGTTGTTTGGGGGAAGAGGAGAGAGGAAGTAGAGACAGAGGGTCTGAGGTGGGTTTTTTCGGCGATTTAATTTTTTTTTTTTATTTATTTTTTGGAGAGAGAAAGGAAATTATAATTTGAGTTGGAAGTGGATAAGCAAATGAGAGAGATGTGTTGTTATTATTATCGATTTTTTATTTTGCAAATTGTGTTTGACTTGTTGACTCTCTTGGCGTCTTTTTTTTTTTTTTTTTTTTTTTTTTTTTTTTTAAGGATTTTTTAGTGTATTTATCTCAATTTGTTAATTTTTTAAAGAGATTATTTGATTGGAAATGGTTGCATCTAGAAGTGTGGGATGTGTGTTAGGTATGTGATTGTTATATTTGTGGGTTGTAGTTGAATTTTTTTTTTTTTTTTTTGAGACATTGATTAAAGCAAAATAGTTGTTTATTGTGTAAATTTGATTGTCATGATCTTTAAATTTAACCTGATTGTATAAAAAATAAAAAACACAAAGATTTTAAATTGAATTTTTCAGTGTTTCATAACATATTAGAAATTTTTTTGTAGATTTGAAACATGAATTACCATGATTGGTCGGGGACTCATTCGGAAGACAACCCTGGCATTTGCCAATCGAAAAAAAACTGCACCTTTTTTTGAACTTATTAATTTATTTATGTGTGTTTATTTACAATTTACTTTCATGGTTAATGAATGTCAATTTGCCACTGCATAAATGTTAATAAGTCCTTGTCTTAAGTTGGTTGCATATAGATTTTTTTTTGGTTGAAGAAAACTAAAATCTTGATTAAATTGATGAACACTCTGATGAAAACTTTGTTAAATTAGGGTTTGTTTTCCTGTAAAAAAACAAATAAAATAAAATAAAATAAATAGAGGTATGTTTAGTTCGCCTTAATTTTTGCTTATCTTATCTAATCTAAACTTATTTGGTCTGGCCTGATCTGCTATGATCCGGCTTGATCTAATCTAATTGTCTGATTTAACTAAACTTTGACTTGTGTGCCATAATCAATAAAGAAAAAATATACCAAGCTGGATCTTGTTAGATTCGTAATAATGTGTAATTTAATATTAATATGTAATTTTCATAATTTTTAAATTTCGAGATTAAAGATATTTAGCGATAAAAAGCCACACATAAAACGATTAAAGTATGTCAGAACTTATTTTTTCTGATCTGATATGAATTTAATTTTTTTGATTTGATCTGAAATAAGTAAAAATAAGGTGAGCTAAACATGACCTAAATCTTTAAATCATCACAAGAATAAATATAGTAGAAATTGAGACAAATAAAGTACCATCGAGATAAATAAAAAAATTTATACATACTTGGTAAGAGAATTTATTAATTACGAGTAGATACCACTCTTCAAAATTGTTTTTGAAATATAATTTTTCTTTTTGACTTGCAAATGTATGGGTCACAAAATGGGGTAGTTTTAATTATGGCCATACATATATTGAATGCTTATGTCTTTAGAGTCACAACCTGCAAATACAAGAACATGCAAGGTTATAAGTTAATCAAGTTTTATATTAACTTATATACGTTGATAAAACAAAGCCTAATTATGATCATAATGTTATACTTCCCCGTCTCAATTTAGTTGACACACATTTTAGGGTCATCCCTATGATCCCACTAGTTTATTACAAGTATATTTTCTCCTTTTTTTTTTAACTTCTATAAAAACAATTAAAAATTCAACTATTCACCCCCACTAACAAACGTAATGGTCCCATACCGCACTAATGACAATAAAAAATCACCCCAATACCAAATTTAACATTATAAAATTTCAAAATCAATAAAAATGCTCAAAATTTTACGCCGGTAAAACTATCTCAGCTTATTACGAAATGGCTCAAGCCATCTAGAATTCTAATCGGTCGATTCCGAATGGTTTAAGAGCATTTTTGTTTGAAACCACCTATACCCTTAAGCTATGTTTAATTCACGTTATATTAGCTTATCTAATTGCTTGACTAATTTGATTTGATCCAATAGCTTGATTTGATTAAACTTAGACCTCGACTAATTTCAGTAGGGCTAAGCAAAACTACCTGAAAAACCGAAAACCTGATCCATAACAGTTCCAAAAATTAGGGTATCCGATCCGATAACCATAACGGTTCGGGTACCCGTTATCGAGTATGGTTATTGGGTATCAGTTTAAAATTAACGGTTATCTCCGATCCAATAAGCAATTTTTTGTTTTTTTTTTTTCCTACTTGAATCTATTTTTCCAAAATCTAAACTCTTACTTTACTTCATAATCACTTTATAATATCAATGATTAGTAATATTATTAATAATTTGGTCCCCGTAAAAAAAAATTAATATAATAATTTGGTTAAGATCATGTGGTATTGTTGTTAATTAGTGTTAAATGATATCATAATAACTACATTATTAAGTTTAATTATCATTATTGAATAATTTATTGGGTACCCGATAACCGATTTGAAAATCCGGGTTCCCGAATATCGGTTTGATTTATGGATATCACTTTTAGTGATATTGGTTATTAGTTACTCGAACTGTTAGTACTAACTGTTTGGGTACCCGTCTCATGCTCACCCTTATTTTTCAGTACTCCTGGAGGGTGTTTATTTAGGGTGATAAAAGAAGAGGGACAAGGATAAAAAATAGGGATAGAAGATATATAGTGTTTATTTAGAGGGATGGGGATAAGAAGGGGGTTAGGGATAGAGATAAAAACACCTACTTATCCCTCTATTTCTATAACTAAGGGGGTGATATAAAGGGAAGGGATAAGAAATGGGTTTTAAAAGACTAAATTACCCTTAATGAAATTGAAAGGGTAAGAAAAAAGGATAGAAGTTAGTAAGGGTACTTTTATAAATTTATTACTTATCGCTAATTTATTTCCCATACTTACCAAATATGGGATAAAAATTACAGCAATTTCATGAAATGCCACTGAGCACTTAAAAAATTCATGAAATGACATCGTGTTTTTCAGAATTCACCAAATGCCACTGACAAACAGTAAAATGTCACGCCATGCCATTAATAAGGTATTTCCGTTAGTTGACTGTCAGTGCCTGTTAGTTGACCCCACCACTTGCCACGTGTTACCTTCTGATTAGTCCGTTTTTAAAAATAAAAATAATTAAACAAAAAATAAAAAAAAAACCAAAATATTTAAAAAATAATAATAAAAAATAACAAAAAAAACAATAAAAATTTTTTAAAAAAAACATCAAAAAAATTAAAAAAAAAAAGGAACTTAGAGGTGGCAGCCACCACCTCTTCCCTGCCGTCGAACCCCCTGCCCACCCCAAAACCCTAACCACCACCACCCACTGCCGGCGACCCCTCCCCTTCTCCTCCTCTATCCTGCCGCGACCCCCAAACCTGCGAAACCACACCCCCTTCCTCCACCACCCTGAAACCCCACCCCCCCTTCCTCTCCCTCTCCGATGGACATTATGAGGCATCTACAGACTTTGATGGACATTATGCCACACCAAGGTCAGCCTGCACCAAGTTTTCGAAAAGGGATGGGTTTTGGGTAGGGTGGTCGGAAAACGAAGAGGAAGAGGAAGGGGGGTGGGGTTTCGGGGTGGTGGAGGTATGGGTGTGGGATTTCGCAGGTTAGGGGGTCGCGACGAGATAGGGGAGGGGAAGAGGAGAGGTTGCCGGCGGCCGGCGCGCCTCCTGGTGCTAGCCCTGGCGGCAGGGGGTGGTGGTGGCTAAGGTTTTGGGGTGGGCAGGGGGCTCGACGGCAGGGAGGAGGTGGTGGCTGCCACCTCTAAGTTCCTCTTTTTTTTTGTTGTTTTTTTTAAAATTTTTTATTGTTATTTTTATTATTATTTTTAAATATTTTGGTTTTTTTAATTATTTTTATTTTTAAAAACGGACCAATCAGAAGGTGACACGTGGCAAGTGGTGGAGTCAACTAACGGGCACTGGCGGTCAACTAACGGAAATACTTCATTAATGACATGTCATGACATTTTACTGTTTGTAAGTGACATTTGGTGAATTCCGGAAAATACGATGGCATTTCATGAATTTTTTAAGTGCATTTCATGAAATTGCCATAAAAATTATTTATCCTTATCCTACTCATCAATCTCCTATCTTTATCCTTCTTTCCTATCCCTCTTATTTCTATCCCTCCAACCAAACGACCCGTTGCAGTACGGGAACGAATACTAGTGCCTTCTTCTCGAGCTCACATCAAATCAGCAACCAACCAACGATGGCGATCGGCGACATAGAGAAGATGATAGCAGTAGGCCTAATTTGGGGAGCAACAAACGCCCTAATGCGAAAAGGCGCACTAATCTGGGACCAAAAATCACTCAAATCTTCACAATCAAATCAAACTCCACTTCAAAATCGCATCATTCTCTCTCTTCAAAACTACCTCAATCTCTTTTTTAACATGGCAGTACTCACTTCCCCTCTTCCTTAATCTCTCTGCTTCCGCCTCTTTTTTCGCTATTCTTGGTCACACCCCCATTTCTCTTGCTGTTCCTGTTACCAATGCCACGACTTTTGCTGCTACTGCTCTTATGGGGATGCTTTTGGGTGAGAAAACTCGAATTGGGTATGCTTTGTTTGGTACTCTTTTCATTGTTTTTGGTGTTTGGCTTTGTGTTATGTGATGAGAACTTTTCTGGGGTTTTCAAGTTTGGATTTGGGATTACCCCATTTGATTTAATTCTGTAAATTTGATCGATTTTGTAGTGTTTTTGTTATAATATTGTTGATCTTATTACTTGATATTGTCAAATTTTGATTAAAATTTATAACATTGAGATCTCATAGTTGGTCAAATGTTTGAGGTGATGATAATGTTGTAGTGTGTTGATTTTTCCCCTTAATTAAAGGATGCTTTCATGCTGAAAGGTTGAAACATTTACCTAATAGCATATCAATTATCTCACTTTGTGGTTCCGAATTTTTGTTTCACTCCAAATACCCGAGTAGCCCGAGTTGAATATTCGACACTGATAAGTGACACTTCATAGTTCATATTATTAGACATAAACATGTAAACAGACCTTAAACAGGTAAGCATTTTGTATAATTACCTGAGAATCAATACTTGGACAATGGACATATACCGGAAAGTGACACAAGCACCAGAGTCTGTGTATCGTAGCCCTGTAGTTAAGGTTTGAAGGTATTAGAAAGTGTGAGGAGAGGACTTGCATTGTGGAATACTTGTGAGGAAATTAAAACCATTTTCACCTGTGGAGGTGATAATCTATGCCATTATGTGTATTGTTCTATGGATCATTTCTGATATACGGATTGATTAATCCTTGTCTGATGATTACGTGGACGGCCGGTTGTCATATTAGCCCTATGCCCACATCTGAAACTGTGAAGCATTGATAACTTTGGATTTGGTAGTGATGAGCAATTCATACTCATTGAAGAATTTTCTATACTACGTATCTACAATATGAAATAGTGGTGGGTGGGGCTCTGACCCTTTGTAGGTCTGCTAGTATTAGTCTTGGTGTGCAGAATTTTCAAGGGCAGTAGTCTGAAATGCATAAATAGTTGAGAATTTATTAGTTGTCTGGTAAGAATTTAGAGTGAACATAACCTTTAGCATGAATACTAACAGAGCTCAGATTCTGCAAGCCTATATACTATTTTGCTTATGCCTGAATAGTGTCCTGACATAATCAAGGTTGATATGTATCATTGTATCAAGATGCCTGGATAACTTCAGAGCAATATTTATCCTAAGAGTCGGCAACTTTTTGTTTTTGAGATGAGTGTTCTTGGCTTAAAATTAGAGCTGTTTGAGAATCATGAAGTAGAACATTCTTCAACACCACTTCACTCTTGTTCTGTTCCCTTGTTTTAGCTGTCAATTTCCATAATCCTTTTAATAGTTACGACCATCTTATGAGTTATGACAGCAACATACTTTCGTTCATGAAATAGTCAGTTGTCATGCAAAAATGGAAATGCAACTGGAGGAAAAGATTAAGGAGGAACGAAAGAGCTTTCTAAGGCTTAGATCAGTACAAAATTTGCTGTGTTAAGTTATACCGTGCATGTTAGCTTACCACGTGCTTAGTTATTTTGAGCACTTTGGTTTGTGCTAGTTGTTTTTATACGAATTCCTTCATTATATCATTGTAGTTTTCCAACTCTTAAGTTCTCTAACCCTGCTTAGCCTTGATCATACAAATTTCAATAGATACACCCTGTCACATAAGGAGCTTTACCAGTTAGAATTTAGAACGGAGGGAACCATTAGAGCAGGCATACTGAGTACTGACAGAGCCATTGACCTGCATATTGTTTAATTTGCTTACTTATTTAAGTTCTTGAATTATGCTATGCCGTTGATCTTAAAAATCATTGAAATTTGATAAGCTTGATAGCCTTGATAATCTATTAGTTTAGGGTTAGTACAGAATGCAATGATGAACAAAAGACACTTTTTGCTAGAAAACTGCAGAAATTATGAACTTTTCCGTAAACCTTTTATTCACTTTACATCAATTATAATCATTGATGAACAGAATTAGTGCCACAATTTTTTAAGTAATGATTATAAAGACTTAGTGAGTAGCGCAGAAATAAACTCCCTATCAAAATTGAAAAACTAGTGGCTTCAGACCGCATGAACAAAACCACATGACATCTGCACATAAACTCTGCCACGATGCTTGCTCATAATCTCATATCATCTCTGATTCTATCTTTTAGAAAACTAGCAAGGCCTTGAAGTGCGGCTGCAGGATCATTGCTCTTCATAAGCTCGCCAGCAACTTCAGCAGCCGTAGCCTGAGCTTTGTCAAAGAGTTCCTCTATCACTTTAAAAAGTGGGTCATCATTAATTTCCAGATAGTTAGCTGCAAGTAGCTTGAACCCACTGAAAGTACAGTATGACATGTGGATTTGCACATCCATGCGGCCAGGGCGTAGCAGGGCAGGATCAAGACGGTCCTTGTGATTTGTTGTGAATACTATGATTCGTTCATCCCCACAAGTAGACCATAACCCGTCAATGAAGTTGAGCAATGCTGATAAAGTCACCTATTGTAAGAGGAGAGAATAGAGAGGCTTAATATAGCACTGTCAACTGAGTCTCAGACAAATTTCATAAAGATGTGTAACCCTAAAAATTTTCAGATTGTATATGATTCTAAGATCTGACTGAATAAGGGCAACATCTCATGCATTATGACGCTCACAGATGAAGCTTAGCAATGGTTACTGACAAATTATCATCACCTCATCAGAGTAATTTACCCAGTAACAGTTTTTGTGGCAATATACAGAATACATGACAGACTTCTGTTACACAAAGACCTGAAGTATCCATGTAGGATACTTAGATAGACGGACACTAATCACAAACACTTCAAATAGACCATGGTTAGTAACACGAAATCATCCTTGGACACAAGGCCATGTGAACTAGGATGTGCACTGTTAGTAAAACAGAAGCCTGTTAAAAAATTTACAAAAAGAAACCATACCTTATCATCATCCACAGCTTTAGCACCATCCTCTGTGGCATCTCTGTTAGGCAATTCTACAGAGCAATCAATATCCTCGATCACAAGAATCGACTTGCTTGCAGCTCCAATCAACAGTCTCCTCAAGTCAGAATTACACATAACCTCCTTCAAATCCAAATCATACACATCAAACTTCAAGTAATTAGCCATGGCAGCTACTAAACTAGACTTCCCTGTTCCGGGAGGTCCATACAGCAAGTAGCCGCGTTTCCATGCTTTCCCAACTCTCCTATAATACTCTCTTCTGCTTATAAACCTCTCAAGGTCCTCAATCAAATCCCTCTTTACATTGGGATCCATCGCAATCTTGTCAAATGTTGCTGGGTGATCCAAATTTATACAACTCCAATAATCAGTCCCATTATAGTCCACTGTATGCAACTTAATCTCTTTGCTTGATTGCTTTATCTTCTTCGCTTCTTGAAGAACATGACGCAAATACCTAATAGATTCAGCAAACAAATTCCCATTCTTTGAATGTTGTAAGACATAGTAAATTGTCACATTCTTAAAAACACCCTAGGAAAATCATAAAAATTCCTAAAGTACAAAATTTAAGAATCCACACAAACTTTCTTTTTTCTTTCCAAAGGACTACCTTCCTCATTAGGTTAGTGGGTTTTTTGGGTTTCAAGTTATAGGTGCAATGTTTTGATTTTTACACTTATATCAGTGGATTTTTTTCCAAATATATTCGACAAGTGTAATTCTTTTATAAGCACGTAAAACAAAAATTAGTTTGGTTATAAAAAATGTAAACGTTGCAATTTAAAAATCGTACATAACGTAAAAGTTAAAATATCACAACTAAAAGGACACGATGAGATTTACCTTGTGATCACCATATCTTTGTGTTTCTTGTTAAACCTGAGTTCATAGCTTCTCATCTCCAACTTCTCCAACCCACTCCCATTCCCTCTCTTCTTCTTAGAACTCCCTTCATTAGTTACATTAGAACAACTCTTAAGAACCCAAGTAAGCTTAACACCATCAAAATAATCAACAATCTCTTCAGCAACATCAATACACAAACTAATATGATTATCCTTGATATTCTTGTTAGCTTTAATGCGACGAGTCGAAGGGGATACCTTAGTCCCCAAGTAAACATTAGATGCCTCAAACATATGATTAGGCGTTAACCCATTAAACTCGTCGATTACAACGGTGAGTTGGGAGGAGAGAGACTTTGATATGCGTTTGGTGCGGGTTGAGAAAAAAGATTGGACTTGTTCGGGGATGAAATCGGTTGCGAGTGTGCCAATGAGCACGGCTGTGGCGGCGAGTGAGGCCGCGGTTGAGATTATGGTGTTTGCTTGCGGTAAATTCACGGTCTCGCAGCTAAAAGTTACCATTTTGTTTATAAGAATAATTTTGATTAGAAAAAATAATTATATTTTTGTTTTGTGTTTTTGGTAGGAATTTATAATGGCGGTGAAGATGATGAAGAATCCATCAGTTTCTTGAAGAGAAAGACAGGGGATTTTGGAGGATACGGCGTCGTTTGAAGCGAATGTCAATGGGTAATTTATTTTAGTTTTTTTCATTTTTTTTTTACCGAATAGGAAAAATTAGTAATAATTAATTAGTTTTTGAAGCAGTTGTTATTTTTAAAAAGTACTCCATAATCAGTAAAAACAACTAATAAGAAGTTGTTAAATTTAATTTTATATTGACTGATTTATGGGCAGTCGGTTAATTTAGGGTTCGCTTGGTATCACTGTAATTTGTTGTTTTTTGGTTTTTAGTTTTTCAAAATTATATGATATATATTATATAATAAATCAAAAATTAGTCAAACTTATTAAAATTATGATAATTTTGAAAACTGACAAACAGAAAAGTGAAAACACCTTTTTGTTTTTTGGTTTTTTTGTTAAAACTTGGTTTGTTGATAATGCCAAACAAGCCCTTAGTTGGTAACAACGCATTTTCTAATTGTATGAATTTCTTAAATACGAGTGACTGAGTGAGTTTTTTTTAGAGGCGAAGGAGTAATACTTTACTTTGATAGTTTGGTACAAATTCATAGAGGTTTTGGGGTAGTAAAAAAAAAAAAAATAGAAATAAAAAAACCTAGAAACTCGTTTGGACTAACAGGGAATATTAAAAAAAAAAAAAAAAAAAAAAATCTAACTCGTTTGGACTAACAAGGAATATTAGTCTAATAGATGATGGAAATTAAATAATTTATTGTGAGGTGAAATTATAAGTTACTCAAATCCTACAAGTAGTAAGGAGCTAAGGACTAAGGAGCCACCCTTTAGAATAATTATGTTATTACATTCTCGTAATTTTTAACTATGAGTAAGGAAGCTAAAGTTACACCCAAGCGTGACTGTGTGAGCAACTGAGCACAACATAGGCCGCACATATTAATTTTTCCTGAATTTATCAATCATCAAAACTCATCTAAACTAAAAAATAAGACAAAATAAGATAATATTAGTTGAAACAAACAACCCCTTAATGCTCATTTGGCTTAGCATATTTTTTTTCCCCAAATGAGTATTACTAGTTTTCTATTGTTCTTCATTTCCAGGCTAGCAATTGTTTGGTCTTAACTGCTCATTTTCATTTTGCAAATGAGCTAAGGTGTTTGAAATGAGTACCTATAATCTTTCAAAACAAGTATTGTTGTTGTTTACTAGGGGGTTGGGTGCGCCTTGTACTAGAGGCAGATACAATTGGGTTGAATTGACGATTTTGTAGTTATTTGATTGACATATGTAGTTAATTTTCGGAGAAGGTAAAAAACACCATAATGTATTTGATACAAAACAATAGAATGAAATAGCAAACCAAGAAACCATTATTTGTAGGTAATGTATGTATGTATGTATGTTGTATAACCAAGAATTCATAATTGAATAATATTACTGAAATGAAACATTAAGGATGAAAACATGGAACAAAATTAAAAAAAGAATCGTGTAAGGTTCATAGCGTCAATTCTGCTGCAGACGCCTTGCTTTGTTGAGAGGTTCATTAATGATCGTCATTTTAATACTGTTGAAGGTCACATTCCTTTGGTCTAGGGAATTCTGCATTGAATCTACTGTAATCAGTGCAGTAGGCATAGATCATGTTCTCGTTTCTGATCTTGGTCATCTGTTCTTTCTGACTGTCACTGAGCTGAGTGTAACTCTCTTGGGTCCACCAGTTAGCAGAATCATCTGCATTGCTACATGTTTCCACACAGGTTTCGGTATTCCAGCAGTAGCAACCATCTACGTTGTAGTTTTCTAGGCTTGCTGTAAATGGTGCGAGGCTCCAGTCAGTTTTGACAGCTCCTTTTTGGGTTGCCCAATCATCAGCATTCCAAAAGCTGGAATATGTATTCATGGGTTGTGCATCTGGGAAGTTGATTTCGGAGTCATGAAAGTTTTTGAAGACTCGAATTGGTACACCATCTACCATCCACCTGATAAATGCAAAGGAGAAAAATTTAATTCCCAAGATATAATCTATATCTAGATTTTTTGGGGGGATTTTCTTCTTTGTGTTTCTGTTTGACTAAGACCTTAGTTTGGTGATTGACTTTAAGATTTTTTATTTTACTTAAACAAGATAATATGTTTGGTAAAAACAGAAAAGCTGTTAATTGGTTTAAAAGTAGAAGCCATAATGTTAAACTAATATGGAAAGGCATTGGTTTCTGGTTGTTCCGCAAAAATATTGGTGAATCTGCACATAAATGCAACCATAGTAACATCTTTGTAAATAACTAATACAAACAACCTGGCATAAATTAGAGAAGGGTGGGGAGGGAGAAGAGTAAGTGTTTTTCATTAAAAATTTCAAGATTTTTAACTTACACAACTTCGTAGGTGTTCCAGAAAATGGTGTAGAAGTGATAACCATCAGAAGGGTTGAACCAGGGCTTGAATTGTTCTTCACGACTACCTTTTCCTTGGGTGAAAATATTTGTGTGAATTGTGAAAGGCTCCCCTGTAGTGTTTCCAAGGAACTCGAAGTCTATCTCATCATGTGCCTTATTAGCAGAAGACAGCTGCAGGAACACAAATGTAAGCAGTATGTCTTGGATACAATGCTACGACAAATTTGAATTGGAGGATACTTACATAGAAGGTGGTGACAGTCCCAGCTGAATTGCCAGAAGGCAGCATGATTCCCAAGGTAATAGATCCATACATGTAACTGACATTTGACCTTATTCCAGTTCCTGATAAAGAAGCAGACATTTTTTTTTTTTTTTTGTGTCAGGCGGTTTCAACATTCAGGCCTTTAGCCTTTTATTTTCATGCAGTATTAAGATTGTGACGAAGAGAGATTCATGTTGCCCTTAACGGGGGCTGACAACTATGCTACAGTTTAATCAGCTTCTAAAACTAGGACAATAATATTAGTTTGTCAAGTTGTCTATTAATATTATCTTTTCTTCACCATAAAATTTCTGATATGTAGATTTCAAAAAGCTATCTTACACATATCTTGTGATTGAATGGAATGAATCCTAAACGACACAATTTATTGACTTAAACTGATTTGCTCACTAATCATACGTATACTGCATGAGATATCATAGAACAATATCTTAATGAAAGCAGAATTTGCTGCAGATACATACCTCCTTCTTCTGTCAACACTAGATCAACACTGTCTGGACCTGTATATTTGCCACGGGTTTCACCCCAGTAGAAATTGGTACTGTCTGATAATGTGGCACGAACCGAGCATGCTTGAAGAGCAATTGCAGAGGCAAAGAAAGCTATGAGAACTGCTTTCAGGTTTCCCATCTCTCTTTTTTCTTTTTTAATTTTTTGATTTTTTTTTATGCCTTGAGAGTTGTTATTGTGGGATGCTTCTTCCATTGGTATGACATAGTTTATATAGCTTCTTGCAATGCCGTCTTATTGAATGAATACCATGTATGCAAAATATAGTTTTTAATTTTCTTTGAAATGGTCCTGATCCGCGTCTCATTGTCTCTAATATTTTGTAGTTCTGTTGGCCTCTCTATTTCATTTGACTGTTCTTGACAATTAATCCTAACGACTAGTCTTTTACTCTTTTAATTAACTTCAAAGCTCAAGTCACTTGTGTTTCAGTAATTTAACTCTATCCATGTGAAGACTATTGCTTAGAAAAATAACTGGGATGGAACACCTGAACTCCCGTATTGTGTTCATTTTAGATAGTTTTGCAATTGCTCTTCTTATCATGTATCTCGTTGCTCCTTAACCGTTGTGACTTTTGGGTGGTTGACTGGTTGTCGGGGAGGAAGGGGTTTGTTAAGGTAAATCATCGAGGACTTAAACTTGCAACTCTAAAATTCGGAAGCAGGGGTATAGTCGCACCAAAGTGTATTAATCTAGTGTAACTTAAAGGGTCATGGTAATCTGAATGAATTTGTATCGGTTATATCTTCTTATTATTGAGCATTGTTGGCCTTGTGTTGGTCTTATGGACTCTTTTAGGTTGCTTGCAATATATTAACTCCCTATACAACTTGTCATATATTGGTTCGTCAATGGAAGGTTGTGGTATGAAAATCTGATATTTATCCACTGATATTTGAAACACCGGTAATAATACTATCCGTCCCTATAATTTTCTAGTACAACGGTTGTACCACATCAAATTTACAATGGGTTTACCAAGTATTTAACCTGCCATTTGCATTGTTCTTTTATCATTAAAATGCCTAGTCTCAGCTTATATGTTGATTTTCTCATGCTACAATTTTTACTTGATGAAAGCCAATGAATATTATTAATTTATTATAGATTGAATTTGGATGACAATATATGTAGCAAGTGAAAGGAAAAAAAAAAGTTATGACAGTAAATCTCTGATGGGCAGGATATTACACCATGTTGTTGTGTGTGTTTTTTTTGTTTAATCTAATAAGCCTTTGACAAAAATCCTATTTTTTGAAATTACAAAAATATGATTCAAATTATTAATTATAATTGTTTCAACTTTCAAATAATAAAAATTCCCCTGAACATTGAATTTATTCAATTGTAGAAAATCATCTCCGTACATTTCATGTAAAACTGAAAAAGTATAAGGCTACAACATTGTTGCAGAGCTGGAACGCGGTAATAGACGTGCAGAGGACTAAAATTTTATGTGCTAGGATGAAGTGAAGACATGGAGTTGTGGTCTTTGGGGTAAAAACGTGCATCAGGCGTTGTAGAGAATTAGATTCTCTTAGCTGTTAGTTGGTCAAATAGTTCATTTAATTATTCATGCTATACTTCTATAGTTCTATTATTATTTAATCTTAATGCAGTTGGCCAAATGAAAGAGACTAATATAATATTATGTAATGCAATGAACATATAAAAGAGATGCCTATATTTTTATATGATTATTGGAAGTGCGGGGGTATTTATCTGATCTGTTGCAAGTCATTTTCTCTTCTGTATCACGCTTCTATTTATGATAGCGCGATGTTAACTTCTTTCCCTGCATGCGACTGATTGTTTTTGCTAGGTCTTTGAGAGATTTGTTCACACGAAGTGCTTTCCTCATGGTTTTTACATTTGCATTCTTCAAGTAGTTTTGTCATGGTTTTTACATTTGCCTTCTTCAGGTAGTTTTTGTCAGGGTTTTTACATTCGCCTTCTTCAAATTGATTTGGTTATGGTGTTTACTGTCACCTTCTTCCAAAGCAGGGAGGAAGATATCTGCCTAAGCGAGCAGGCTGATTTTATCAGACGTGCTCTTTCAGCTTCAGTGGCCATGACTCCTTGAGTACAAGGTTAGCCGGGTGATTTAAATGTCTACAATATTTTTTTTTTTTCATTGATAGGAAAAATCATGTATACAACAGGTGTATTATACACAACAGTCTTAGACAGCACAAATATAATTACATAAAACTCACCTCTTTCTGATCTTGTAGTATACAAAACCTAACGCTGCTGATATCATCAATATTTTACGCGCTTTCCTCTATTTAAATTTAGTAGACTTCTCAAGAGGTGGTTGCTATTAAAAATATTTTTGTTGTTTTGTTAGATATTCCTTCAGTATTTAAGAATTTAAGTATTTTTTTAATGTTAAACATCTGCTCTACAAAAAAAAAAAAAAACAAAAAAGGTAATAAAAAAGTCCATGGCTGTGTTTGAGAACTACATTACATAAAACATTACATTTATATATATAAAAAAAAAAAAAAAAAAAAAAAAGAAAAAAAGAAAAAAAGTGCAGACATACCAAAATTTGAAACTACAGTAGATCAATACAAGTAACTTTGATAAACCCTGCAAACTATTGCAGCTGAATCCAGGAACCGGCACTGGGAACACCGCGATAGTTAATGAATAGAATGTAATGACCAGGAGGTGCAACCTCACCACTAGGAGGAGCTTCCAACTGTAACTGAAAGTTGCCGAGTGGTTGAAGGGTGAAGCTAGAAATTTTCAAATTTAGTAGCCTTTGGTTCATGGAATAGCCATGGGTGGTAAAAGGTGGCTTGTACATTGTAACCATTACATCATTCTGTAGGATTGGCGCGGGAGCAAAGATGTTACATGTCATCTGAATAGTTTGTCCATAACCTATGGCTTTGTTTTGCAACTGGACCATTTTAGGCCTGAAAACATCAAGGGCTTGGTCAAGGTAAGGAGGATCGAACTTCTCAACACGAAGTTCAGTTGGGAATTTGACATCCTTGAATAGGTATCCTGGGTTGGTGTTACTTCCTGCAACGAGAATTTTTCCATCTGGGAGGACCGCGGATGATGAGTGACATACGAGGGATCTGGCTGGGTGCCAATACCTGAAACGCTGACCATTTGGCTTGTCTGGGCTGTAGAGAAATGGGGTTAAAATAGGTTCATCAGCAAACTGCCAACCTGAAGCTCCCTTCTGGGCTCCATTAAGGATGATAATTTGGCCGTTTGGTAGGTTCAACATGTCACTCATAACGCGAGCTGCAGGCATTGTTTCGGTTTCCCATTGGGCAGCAGGGTCTAAGACCTTAATCCTTCCGCAGGTATCCAATGCTGGAAGGAAGATTCCCTCCTTCTCTGCCTTACCAAAGGCTAATGGTTGTCCACCACCACAAACAAGTACCTCTATGTCTTTGTTGCCATTCTGTAGGTTTATTGGGAGGATGGTAGTGGTAGCGGAGCCAGGGTAGTTTCGAGCTCCACCAGGCAAGTCAGGGTACTGTCTGACAATCTTGTTGGTTCTTACATCAAGAAGGATGGCTTTAAAGTTGGCTAAGATGAAGAGATTCCCATCTGGAGCGAGGTGAACAAAGGGGTATAGGTTGTTCTCATGTAGGTCAGTTGTCTCTTTAAGGAAGGGAAGATCTATCCTTCCAGGGCTAGGTTGGCCTTCTGGAGCAAGGAACTCGTAGTTAAAGGCACGACGTCCTCCAAGCACTATATACCGTCCATCAGCTAGCATTGTCTGGGTTCCATACCACCTGATATCAGCCAACAAAATGTTGGATTCCTTCCAATCACATGTGTCGCAGGAGTCGTAGTATCGAAGTGATCTCTCTCCATCTTTCCATCCACCAGTACTAATTAGGGTACCATCAGGTGCTAGCCCTCCACTTGAGCACCATGGATCAGTTAAGACCTGGAAAAAAGGTTGAAAATTACGGAGCAGTATGTGGTTGGTTTCTCATTCCGTTTTATATACATGTACATTTCAAGACTTTACCAATTAAGTTAATTACCATTTTTACCAATTTACGTGTGTTGTTATCTGTGTGCGTCTTATGCCATGTCTTCTAACAGCGTTTTAAGCCGAAAAATTTCATGCCAAGACATGGAGGAGTCATAGAGACACATGATCTGACATGCATACAAGAAGGTAATAAAACTACAATTACCTTGAGTGTTCTGATTTTGTTGGTTTCAGGATCATATTCAACTGCGTGTGCAAAACAATCAAACTGATCTGTTGTGTTAGGAACAAGGCGACAACGATTAGGAGGCAATTCAACTGTTGATTTACCCAAAGAAGTGGCATCAAACATGGCAAGTTTATTGGTAGGCATTAGCTGGATATGCATGGCTGAAACTCCAGAACTTTGAGAAACTATTTCCCATTTTCCTAGGTAATTTGTCTCTCCAATTACTTCTGGTTGTACATGTTGTTGTTGTACCGGTAAATTCTCTCTCTTATTTTTTTTCTTCTTAGGTTTTTGTTTTTTTCCTTTAGGAAAATCTTTTAAATGAATTGGTTCTTGTCTACCCCTTATAGGAAGGGGCAAGTCAGGTACATCACCAATTCCTGCTTCCCCTCCTATATCAAATTTAAACCTTGGAATAAGGCGCCCAAATATATCGTGAAGTTCTGGAACACCAAGTCGTGGTTGTCTCTCCTCATTGTTGTCGTCGTTATGTTTACCATTGTGTGTTTGTCCTTGGTGTTGATCATCAAAACGAGGAAATCCAAAAAATAATTGGGCTGAGGTACACACAAAGAGGAGAGAAAATATGCATAAGAACTTGATGATCAAGGTACAAGAGGTAGACATGTTTATTTATTATTATGAGCTATAAAATGATTATTAACAATTTTTTTAATTTTTTTTTATTTCATTTGATAATAATACATATAAACTAAGATTAAGGGAAAAACAAAAGAAAAATGTTTCATTTGTTTGATTTTCCCTCTTTGAAGAAATTATTTACCCTAGTTGATTTTTTTTTTTTTTTTTTTTTTTTTTTTTTTTTTTTTTTTGGTTTTTCCTTTAATTGTCTTAATATGACTTCTTTATACCCTTAGTTTTTGAGGAATTTTTTACTTTCTTTGGCAATGTGTTCAATTATGGGCTGCCTTTGTTTGTTGCAATTCTCACCTGGATGAAGCTAAGGTGGTGGTGTGTGGCCAAAAATATGGATGGTTAATGGTTGTTTTTAGCTATTTTTAGCAAAGTTAATTAGAGGATTTAGGGTGTAAAAGATTTTCTTGTAATTTTTGATTTCATGTACCCAAATGTAGTATGGTAAATCTTAGTGTGACCAAAAATATAGGTCAATTTGGGATACGAGTCACACTAGTTTAGTTAGTCCTTTAATTAAAATAAGGCTTGATTGTTATGCATGTTAATGTGTGTATATATATATTATGTGGGGCCATCCCCCACGATAATGTAGTTGACTTACTTAGTGCTTGCATTAAGGTAGTTTACTTGCTTGTTCAAGAGAGTAAGGTAGAACTCTTGCCGGAAAGTATGTCAAGAAGGTGGAACTAGGAATAAGAACAGGGATCCACGTCGAGCCATCCTGACGGACGAGCAGCCCGGGGGCTTCAGGTTGGTGCGGCAAAGGACGGCAGAAGGAATAGTAGACACCCCGGGTTCTTGTATTTTGCTTGCCTGTGCAATTGAGGTTTTGACGTACTTTCAACTCACCAAACTCCGTCTTATTTCGATCCATCACTTGGAAGAGGCCTTGCTGGAGGTCACCTTGGAAAGTCTTTTTGTAGGAAGTGAGTTTTCTAGACAAAAGGACGCTGACATCAGCTCAAGCTCGAGTACTGAAATGAGAATTGTGATCCTAGGATTGGGGAGTTGAAGTATTGACTTAACCATTAAGGTTCAACACTTCAACTCGATGTTATTTACGACTCCTATTTTTACCTAACAAACATGAGAAATGGATTAGGTTACGAAAAATATTTCCAATTCTAATTATATTTCCAAGTTCATCTCCTTGAATCCTTGTAATTTTTTTTTTTAAAATGAGTTTTAATTTAGCATCCATGTTTTAAACCATTCAGGCTATGTTTTATTTACAACAGGATGTTAATAATTCCAAATCAATATCAATAATTTGTATATGTGGAAACTAAGTTAAAACGGAGTATTAAACATTAAACATTAAAACTATCTACTCGTAACAAAAACCGCCTTGATGTTTTTAGATGTGGTCGAAATTCATATCGCACAAGACAAATCAGACTTGACCATGTCATACTTGATGAATTTTAAGTAGATCGCCTCATTTTCCTAGTGAAAACAGGAGAGTAATTACAACATGAATTCCCCATTTGTGATCATCCCCTAAATAGTCCACATTTGAATCTACAAAGGTCAGAGATTTAAGCGGGTTAGGCTAGCCGCAGAAATGCAAAACCATGCATGTGTGTTTCATTTTGTTTTGCTAGCTTTGTATGTTTGTTCATCGTCATTGATCAATTTATTATCATCACAACATATACTCCCTCCGCCCGAGGTTTTCTGCAACAAAGGACAGTTTTGCGGACTCCTAGGCAAAACTTCTTAAGCAAGATTAATGAAAAGTAAGAGGAGAGAGAAGGGATAATTAAACTTAATTAAAATAAAACACACAATTAATAAAAATAACTTAAAAAAAAACCACCAACCTAGCCCAGCCACCCCGCCTGCCCCCTGTCCCCACCCCCACACTCGCTGACGTCAAGACCCCCCCTCTCTATGCCGGCGCCGCCCCTCCCAACCCCTTATCGTCGCCCCTCCTTTTCCCCTTGAAACACCAACAAACAACAATCACCCACGCAACACCAATCCCCAACCCCACATACGCCACCCCACGAACCACCAACACCCAACCCCACATACGCAACCCCCCGAAACCACCACCAAAACCCACGAAACCCATCACCAAACCCACGAAACCAACCACGAAACTCAGATCTGAAGAATTGCGCGACGCGGGATTGCGGTGGTGCTGGGGTAAGGTGATGGAGAATTGCGGTGGTGTTGGGGTAAGGTGGTGGAGATGCGCGACGATGCTGGGGTAAGGTGGTGGAGATGCGCGACGAATTGCGGTGGTGCTGGGATAAGGTGGTGGAGATGCACGACGATGCTGGGGTAAGGTGGTGCTGGTGGAGATGCGCGACAAATTGCGGTGGTGGAGATGCGCGACGAATTGCGGTGGAGCTGGTGCTCTGGGGTCGTCTGGGCTGGTGGTAGGGGCGACGAAGATGGTTGGGGTAAGGTGGTGGAATAGTTGGTTAGTCAATGTAATTAACAAATTGTAAACAAAGTTACAAATTTTAAGTAAGGGTAAAGTTGACATTTTATTGCTAAAAATTTACCAAAAGAGGAAAAAAAAAGTGTTGCAGATAATAGAGAGCACCTATTTTTAGTAAATGTTGCAGATAATTGCGGGCGGAGGAAGTATTATGGATCAATCTATGTTTTCCCATCAATCATACAAATCTATTATCATCACAACATAGAGTGATGGATCACTAGTATGTTATCATCACTTTTTTCATAGATTGATCCATCACATATTTTCACAATTTTTTTATAAGAAATCTATATTATTATACTGAAGCGATATTTTTGTTTCCCTCCAAAAGAGTTATAATCCCGCCTACTTCCATTATTATTTTTTTTAAAATTTTTTAATCATCTTCTATGTTTTTTTTTACTGCCGTTTGGTTGGTTAGTTTGATATTCAAGTTTATCCAATCAAAATTTTTACACTAATGATTTCAAATTATATGTAGTATTTTGCTTCTTGTGGTTTTTTTTATTTTTTTTTATTTTTATTTTTTTTTTATAATATCAATAATTTTTAACATAGATATACATAATTAACATCCTGAGCATCGCACGGGTACTACCTAGTAATATATTCATTTGAGATCTTGCAAAAAGTGGTTTAATATCTAATTCTAAAAAATCAATTTTATTTATAATTTTTAAAATGTACAAATTAAAAAAGGAAAAATTACATAAATAATACCACCTTTCACCTGTCCGCTAAAAACAAGTCGACCTTTTGATTACCTCTAAATAATACCACCTTTGGGGGTTTCCGCTTTAAACAAGTTATTTTACCTACAACCTGAATAACCGGTTAATTTTTTTTTTTTTAATAAATTTATTTAACAATGTAATTAACTCTTAATAACAACTTTAATTATGATTTTTTAACAATTAAATCAAAAAACAAAATTAAAAACAATTAAAAACACAAAAAAAAAAAAAGAAATCAGCCCCTCCCTCCTTCCCCCCAACCTCCACCTCAACCAGCCCCCAATACCCTCGGTACCCCTTGTAGCCATCTCTTCCCCGTTGGAGCAAGCCCCCCTTCCCCGCTGGCTGACCGATCCACACTCCACTTGCTTCCTCGCCGCCATCCTTTCCTTTCCACCATTGAAAGTGGTTTGGTTTAGGGGTTTGGTTTGGGGTTTTAGGTTCAATTTTGGGGTGAGGTTTGGGGTCATGCCGTCATTTTGAAGATGAGGCTGCGAGGAAGCTGCTAGTGTTTAAGGGTTAGGGGTGGCTGTTTTAGGTGTGGGAAGGGGAAGGGGGTCGATTCAGGGTGGGGGAAGGGGAGAGGGGCCGATTCCGGTGGGGGGGAAATGGGCAATTTTTTTTGTGAAGAACCCTAAGTAAAATCATAGTGGGGGTTTTCATTTGGTGATGTTACTTGCATAATTCTTAGTACCAAACTATTGTATATTGTAATGTGAGTGTTTTGATACCAATTTTATGCGTTTTGGTGAAGAAATGAGCATGTTTTCATTTTGTCCTCAAGCTTATACGTGAGCTTCAATGGAGTTTCCTCCATTGTTGTCTCTACAAGCTTTTAAAGTTTTTCAGCTTCAATGGTGGTGGTTGGGCTGCCGGTACGGCTCGAATACAGGGGCAAGTGAAGTCGGGGTAAGGGGAAAGGGGTGGTACGACCGGTGGTGGTGGTGGAGCTGGGCGTCGGCCGTACCGTCGCCAGTGGAGTTGTGTGTGGGGGAAGGGGAGAGGAGGTGGCTGGGTCGTGGGGGAGGGGGAGGGGGATGGGTGGCTTTTTTTTTTTTTTAAAAAAAAAAAAAATAATTTTTAAAAAGTTAAAAACATTAAAAAAAAATTATATTTTCAGACCAATAAAATGATGACACGTGTCCATATAACCTATTAATCAGGTTACCAACAAGTTGCAACTTATTTAAAGCGGACACCCCTCAAAGGTGGTATTATTTAGAGATAATCAAAAGGTCGACTTATTTTTAGCGGACGGGTGAAAGGTGGTATTATTTAATGCAATTTTTCCAATTAAGAAAATATTTATCTTTTAAAATGTGTCTTGGAGATTGTTAAAAGTCAAATGGGGTAAAGACGTAAAGTACTCTCTGTTGGAGAAGTATTGGCGCATAGGCCCTATAATTGTGAACAAATAAAAATCGCAAAGTTGTATATATTAACATACATCAAATTTTATACTATTATGAGATATTATTGTACTAATATATACACTAATAGTACTTTAAATACATGCATAGTAGTATACAAAATATGTAACCCTAGTAGTATACAAAATATGTAACCCTAAAAAATATCTTTACAGAGGTTAATTTACCATTGTACTCCTCTTTAAATATCTTTTGGAAACACATAGGGCCGATGCTCTCCTCTCCATTCTCTATATAGACGCATAATGATCCCACTTCATTCTATACATACTAGTTTTGTGTCCAGGCAATGCTCAAATTGTCCTATTTTTTTTAGCTTAATGTTAAATACGATCATATAACCCCATTTGATAATGTAAAATATTTAGACATACGCTATCATATCGCTTATTTTTATAATAGTATACTTTTTGTAGTTTTA